GATGGGCTGCGTTACTAATCAGGCTTGTACATAAAGTGTCAAGTGACGTCCAGACAAATTTACTGGTGCAGTGCAGTTCGCCCTCTAGCATAATCAGTGACGCGAAGTCTACAATGAACTATGGGTTTTTATAATTCTTACTTTATATCAATTGTCCGCTTTATGTATTATGTCTGCATCCCGAACAACAACCCCCCCGTCAGCTGCCAGATCGGTAAGCGTACCTCACATTCAAAACAATCTGCTATTTTTTCATAGTTGGGAAGCCATGCAGTCCTTACAACCCTCGCAAAAACACAAAAAGTGCATATCCTACCTGCAGGTGCAACCATACCACATAGAGGCTTTAGAGCTATGGTGCAATCAAATTAAGGGATTCAAGGTATTAAACCGACAGTATACGATTCACTGTAGCCTATGTTTGCAGCCTATGTAATATCGTGGGATATAGCGAACCCTTCACTTCTCTTTCTGCAACTCTTGCCTATACCGAGCACGAAATGGGACAAATGGGTACCCCCCACACACATAAGTCCAATCCCTATACACACTCCAGCCTAGCGTTACTGAACACATTCCCCCTAGATGTCTGAAAAGAATTCCTGGGATACCAGTATAACACTGACCAAAACAAAGGTGGGGGGTCTTTCTGTCCCATATTTTGCGTCATGTGCTCTTTCCCCATAGTTGAATAGGGCCTAACCGCATGAATAAATCAGCCAGAATATTTTGGACTTCCACTGAACCCCACTGAATGAATTGATTGGATTGGAGCTGACAGATCTAGCCCTTTTTGTGAACACACCCGTTGAATGGCTGTCTATCTACCGGTGGAATAAACTGAGGGATGGGGGGGGGTGTGTGAAACTGGTCCTTCCTTGCGCACACACTGCACCGTGCCACAAAAAGCCAAGAAAACGCAACCAAACACACAGTCCCAGCTTGAACTCCGCCATAAATGACAAAAATAACGTGCAGGATCCCATGTGCTTTAGGTTCGCATGAAACGTATTACCCGGCGTGTTATACTAGGCCTTGAAGCTGCCGCGCGAGTGCATATAGGCCTATTATGCACGTGCTAGTTACGGTCAATATATAATTTTATATTGCTGTTGAACCAACGTTGACGGAACAATTACTTTTTTCTGTAAAACACAAACAAAAGATAAAAACCTAAACGAAACAAAAACAAAACCAGACACAAACCGTAAAAACTTATTTGGTGGTGGGGGTGGCCTGGGTATGGGGGCGGAATGAAAATTTCCTTTCCTTACATTCGCCCAATCTCCTTCCCTTCGATCTATAAAATTTGTTTGATCGCGAACTCTATCCAGTTGGACTCCTTACCATTAATTCCGTGGTTTACATTGAAGATTTGTCAGTTAATAACCAACGTAGGTCAGATAAACGAAGCCAAACTGCGTAATGGCATTTTTTTCGCGGTTGAGGAAGACATAAATAAATTTAGCCTAAGTGCAGATAAAAACATCACAAGGGAGTAAGTTTTTGTAGCCCAACACCTAGAATAAAGCTTTCAACCTGGTATAGTGCATTAACATTTAACCTCAAGACAACCCCAAAGTTACAGGCTGACCATATAGTCTCATCCTGAGAATACATGTTCAAATCCCACTCCGGTTAATTTTGTTTGTGAATAGAATTGTTCACCTTAAAGTTCGTTAAAATATCTCCCAAGGAAGTTTTGTTTGCCTGACATTGCCGTATAGGGCTCCTACAGATCGTCACCGTTACAGTTGAAAGAACTAAAAATAATTAAACTGCAATTCAGTAACCATAGTTCAAAAAGCTTTATTTACTGCCTAAACTTACCAGCTGCACGTGAACAGTTTCTAGTTAAAATGACAGTTTTATGATAGGGAATAAAATCTTCTATATATGGAAATCTCCTTTTCATATACCAGGACATGTCAGAAAGCGCAGTTAGTGTCTTGGAAATTTCTCTTACTGTACATATATAGTTACAATTAACAATACAATTTTAATCCAAAATATAAAATAACACAGTTAGTGATCTAATGTTTCATTTACAACCCACCTCTTCGGTGAAGCTTCTCGATTTTCCTCCGAAGCAATCTAATTACACGAAACGTTTAACTGCAGGGGCGGACCTAGGAATTTTTCCTTTGGGGTCAGACCCCTCAAAATTTGTTGATGTCCGATTGTTGTTGACAGGTTGAAACATAAGTAATAAAATACACTGCTACGGATGTACAAAGTACTACCCTTATAGGAAGTAATCTTTTTTTTAATTATTACTATAATTATTATTTCATTTATCCATTCGATTTTGGGGTGTCTTAGCCGGGGGGTTGACCCTATCCCTGAACCTGACCTTTATTATGCAAGCCGCTTGGTCACAGCGAGACCTAAATAATTGCGGTACTGATCTACCTTTTAACAAACTTTCAGCAAGAGCAGGAACACCGACGTGTTTACTGTACAGACCATGTTCAGTGTCGTAGTACTAGTAGTCATGCACTCGAGTACATTTTTGGTACTCGTGAAAATGTACTCGTACTTGCATGAAGTGGCACCTCCAAAAGTGGACCTCCCTCAATCAGCAAGTCCATGTGAACTGTGAGACTAGTCTGATACTCAATTATCTCGAAAACCCATCAACAAAATTAATCGACATAATGCTTTCATTTACAGTTATAATTATTCAACATAACTATGAAAGCTTTGAGAGCAGCATAAATAGCGGTTCACAAGTGATAGTCAATGGGCCAGTGAGAATTTGGCTCTTGTTCATAAATATGTATTAGGTACTACATGCTGCAATCCTAAAATAAAATATACTAAATGTAATCTTTTTTTTTTTAAATGTTGATACACTTCAAGCCACTGGACCTATTTCATGAAATATGCAAATCAGACGGGCGCATGCGCGCTACTACCGCTGGTTGGCAAGTGCGGCCGTCAACACTGTCGGCAGTGTAGGCGAGCTGCTAGTAACTATAAGCTGGAGTGCTGAACGTCAATCAAAACCGTATTACAGTCTTTGCCCGATACTTGAGCAAGATTTTCTCGAAACTGAGTGAAGTTTTTAGTGTCCTGAGCTTCGTAAGTAACAATTTCTTGTCTTTAAGTTTGGCACTCATCTAGACCAGTACAGAAACGGCGATAGTGGCGGGCGCATGGAGATTTGTGTTGTTGAGTCATAGGTTTGCGCAATTTTGCCAACCAATGGTAGTAATGCATTTGCGCCTGCGTTATTTGCGTATTTCACGGAAAAGGTCCATTACAAGCGCATATGTTAAACTGGGAAAAGTTAAGCAATAACATGTCTGAAAAGACATTACACACTTGGAAAAAAATAAATTGAAGAAATATATTTTACTGCAACTGTGAAGGGAGTGCGGGGGAAAATGTCTGCCGTCATAACAAAACAAGGCTAAAGTAGGTAATTATAGTGTTTTACAGATCCCCTTCCACTGTTTTTGCTCTTCAAAGTGATCCAAAGTCTAAGTTCTATCTTTCGAATGCTTTCATAATAAACGACAGTTGTGGGCTTCCACGGACATAAACAGTGGAAGCATTTATCTATATCGTTCAGTCAGTGGTTTTGAAATAGTGGGTCACATAGAGGGCGAACTTGACCACTGGCATTACTGTGTAAGTAAAAGAAGCAAAACAGTGTATTTAGGACAGATATTTTGTGTTTGTACAGGTACAACTAAGAAGAAAACAGAAACGGAACTTGTGTGGAGGCTACCAGTGTTAAGCATGGAGGAATGCGCACGCCTATCAACAGGAAAAGGCCACAGCTCAGAGCACATCATTTGCACTTTTGTCTTTTTGGAAAGAAAACTTGTAACTTGAAACCACTCCAAAGGTAACTAGTGAATCTAATACACTGTTTATAAACCACCCTCAAGATAAGAAATGGACGCTAAAATTTGGTCACCAACAATAAAATGACTTTTGCGATGAATGGCTGTTTTCCCAAAACAGAAGCTGAGCATCAAGCTTTAAACCACGTTTTAGTATCTAGAAAACACAGAATGCACTTATGTTGGGAGAAAAACAGGATATCAGCAAAACAAAAAATGGATTAAACAAGCTGCCCATTGAATACTACGCTTGGAAACAAACCAAGGAAGGTGAAAATAAATCACTTTTACTCGCAGGAAGGTTGCAGGTCCTTTCAGTAAAACACTGCCTGGATTTTGCTCACAACGTAGAACTGGTTTTGTTCTAATTGATACAGATGGAGCTGATGGGGAATAGATTAAAACCTCTCTGACTATAAACCCCATTTACCATGGATACGTATCTTTGCAGCTTGTTGCTGCTTGATAGCGACATTGTTATCTTTGACATCCCATCTGATCATGATCTGGAAGTCTCTGACTCTACTACCTTACGTCAATATGGTGATATGCCTGGAGTTTCCATTCTGCTCCATAGATAACCTACTACAGAACGACAAACCTACAAAGAAAGCTGCTTGAAATGGAAACTGGAGACTTAAATTCCTTGTACTATTCAAACTTTAATATCACATGACTGGGAAAAAAGCTGACATTAAAATACAAGTTACGAAATAATTAAACACATAATTACCAACAATCTTTACAACATTTAAATTGGTGTAGATGGGACATGTACTGACAATCTCACTTTCATGAATGCATATAGTCCTACAATTTACGAGTTAATATTTCAGGCCTAAAGCGCCTAAGTACCAAATACTTTACTTTGATTGAGTTCTAATCGATACAGTCACAGTGTTGACAGAAAGAACAAGTGCAAAATCCAACAGCAGTACTTACCAAGCTTTTATAAATTAAACAGACAGAAATTCCTCCATGCAACTTTTTCAGATTTCGGGATTCTTGTGCTTCAAAGAATATATATATATGGTAATTCCAGAAATTAGGGGTTCAAAAATGTGACATTTTTGTGTCCCTGTTTATACATCTGACCTTTGTTAGTTGACATGGAAATATCACCGGAATTGATTAGTATTTGTTTGGCAGGTAATTTCCATTAATACATCACCCTTGGAAATGAGAAAATCAGTTCTGAACTTACAGAATCATATGTCAGATTTGACTGGGACACGAAAAAACTGGACCCTTAATTTCTAGAATAACCTTATACTCTTGCTTTGTTGACTTCATGAAGCACAGTTTGTATTTAAGACACCATAATATAACATGCATGCAATCCACCAGCTGAGTCTTTAAAAGGAATCCCTTTTGTCCTGCATCTGCAGTGCCTCAACACTTCGACTGTTTGAAACAAGTAAAAATAAACAAGACTCATATTAATATCGTCAACGTTACTACACAGAGTCTGTGAGTAAAAGGTCATGTGGTGAGCATCCAGAGCCCTCAAAGCCCACCAAAGGCTTGTCTTACAACATTCTGTAATTTCCAGAAGAATGTTCTCTGATTAAAATCATACCAGGGAACATTAATGGTGAGGTTTCACATTTGTCTTTTCTAATGTAGTTCTTGACAACAAAGGTTAGATTAGACTTTAGAATTTTGTGTAAATCTCATTCCTGTAAACTTTATTTCAAAAACTGCAAACCGTACAACTTGTCTTGGTCTAATGTTTCAATTTTAGTTTCTACCTACAAATCCCCTGGAAAGAATTTTGTGAATTTTCACTTTTGTATGAGTACGTAACAATTAGTTGAACAGGTCATCATTTATTTCAGATTTTTGGAAGTGAAGTGTCAATTTTTGGCACCATATTTCTCATTTGGCACAATAATTGTTAGGCAATTTTTAGTTTTCAAACCTTATGCTGGGGAACGATTTATGAGGGCATGCTTTGGAGGTGGTTTTTTAAAAAAGTAAACAAGTGAAAAAGATACTTAACTTTTCATATTTTTGCCAGTTATTTTTCCTAATTGAGGGTTCTGGAAGCATGCCGCAACAAAGTAAAATGCGTATAAGCAGTTATGCAAAATCATCTGTAACGGACCGTTTATGTAGCTTTTGTTGCCACTAGAATAGCCTCAGGCGCCGGCGGATCCAGAGGGCCTCCGGTGGAGCGCCCTGACCTACGGAAGCCCGTTTTCATATCAAAATGTAAACGGTAAAACACAAATCAAACTCTAAAACATTTATAACAGAAATAATTGAAAAAGTAAATAACCAACCTCTGAAAACAATATGCCCAAAAAAGTTCCAAAAATGAAAACAAAAAATCAAAATACGAAATAATTGAAAAAAAAAGGAAAAATAATGTCCAAACCAAAGGTCGCCAGCAGTTTACTTCAATTTTTCACAACGAAGCTACACGCAAATCATTAAAAAAATTCTGAAACAAATTTGGTTCCAACGTATAATCTTTTGTAAAATTAATTTTGACCCTTTTGGCCGGTTTTGGCCCTTTTGGCCGCCCGTTTTTTTTTTTACAAACAAACTCAACGCGAATCAATAAAAAATTCTTATACAAAAAATTACACAAAATTAAGTATTATTACAACCAAAGTTGTTTCAGAATTTTTCTAATGATTTGTGTTTAGTTTCGTTGTGAAAAATTGAAGTAAACTGCTAGCAACCTTTGGTTTGGACATTTTTTTTTCTTTTTTTTCAGTTATTTTGTATTTTCATTTACTGTTTTTATTTTGGGAACTTTTTGGGGCACATTGTTTTCAGATGTTGGTTATCTATTTTAAAAATTATTTCTGTTATAAATGTTTTAGAGTTTGTTTTGTGTTTTACCATTTACATTTGATATGAAAATGTTGTTCGCCCGTGATTATTTATTTTTGGTGAGATTAATTTTTGTGGCATATAACTTTTAATTTTGTTTAATTAAATATTTTAATAAGTTGTTCTTAAATGGTTTTGGTGGTTGTTTTCTGTTTTATTATTTAGATTTTTGAATAAGAAGATTCTGTTTGCTCGTAATTGTTTATTGTTAAAATTAATTTTGACCCTTTTGGCCGCCCATAGAGAGCATGGCGCTAGATTAAAGGTCCAATAATGTTTGTTGGTCATTTATGAATGTATTTATGTATCACATATTACAGTTAAGTAAGTCGCGGCCGCGAGTTACTGGCAACAACGAAAGAGAAACGCATCGCCGTGAAAGAGAAACGCACAGCCGTGAAAGAGAAACACACCGTGGCCGTAACGGGCTTCCGTACTGACCTGCTTCTTTTGTAATTGTATAACATTCTGTGTGCACCGAAAATTGGCTTCTATTTCGGGATGCTTCTGGATTTGGCGGGCGCGGGAAGGGTTTGGCAAAGTTCCCGGGCGGGAATTGCTTAACACTGTTATACATTCGGTTTTGGAGGAGAGTTGGAACGGTGTCGTTGTGGTTCTGACCGCAGTGCAGAAAGCTGTAAGCCAGATTTCGAGTGAATTAAAGAAGTCTTGTCGTTGTAAATCCTGTCAGTTGTGTCCCCTTTTTGGCGTTGCTGATTAGGAGGGTAAGACCCAACTAGTTCACGCTACATTTGGTGGCAGCGGCGGCATTGTTCACGGGATTTCTTTTGGGGAAAAGACATGGCAAATCGTAGGGAATCCACACGGAGCATCACCGAAGCCACTGACGACATTTCCAAGGACACTGAACGGCAGGAACGCTCCCTGACCGAGAGCTCACGTAGGGTCACGCATGGGTCCGAATCTGGACATAAACGGCAGCGTCGTTCGTTGGAGACGCCAACTCTGCTTACAGAGGACAAGTCCGACAGGTTGAAGAAATCTCGTAGCCTGCGGAAATCACCAGAGACAACTCGCTGAGGACCTTCGTAGACAGTGGCAGACAGTGTGTAGTGAATCAGACAGCGAAGGTGAGCACCGCTCTGACGCAAGTTACTCTCAACTTGCAGCCTGCCCTTCCGGGACACGTAGAGGCCGCATGCCTCGTCATGCCGGCAGGCACACGGCATTGCACACAGACACCGCTACTACTGGACCTGGTTTTGCAAATGTGGTTGGCCAGCACGCAAACGTGGCATGCACGGGAGCGGTACCGCGGGTGAAGGCTCGGGAGTACGATGGGGCCTCTTTCATTGAGGATTACCTCGTGCATTTCTCGAGAGTGAGTGAGATCAGTGGCTGGAACGATACACAGCGAGCCGACTACCTGCTGGTGGCGCTGAAGGGACCTGCACTGGAGGTTGTCTGCTCCTTGCCGAAGGAGGTACTCTCGTCCTATGGTAAACTGGTAAAGGCCCTCGAGCGGTGCTTCGGGACAGCGACTCAGCGAATCCGTCATCGTGCGGAACTGTCATCAAGAAGAAGGCGTGCATGCCAGCCTGTTCCTGAACTTGGTCAAGCCACAAGAAGGCTGGTCCGTCGTGCATTTCCTGATAGTGGATCGACTTTCAGGAGGACTTTGCCATAGAAATTTTCACGAATGCTCTGGACAACCTTGAACTGAAGCTCGCTCTGTTTCAAGGGAAGCCGTCAACGCTGGATGAAGCAGTGGACGTTGTGGCATAGGCAGAGGCGTAAGGCAGAGAAGACTGGACGGTCGTGAACAGTGGCAACTGAGCACGGGGAAGGAAAATCTTCGGACTCTGCATCAACTGACCAGGTAACAGCAATGTTGCAGGAGCTATTGCAATTCCAACGACGTGGCCATCCGCCCAAGAAAACCGATGAGTGGAAGCCAGGTTATTGGAAGTGTGGCAGTCCAGAACACTTTCGAGCCCAACGTCCATTGATGAAGAACGAACAGCCACCGTTAAACGGAGCAGGTCTGGGTTTGGGGCCAAAAACTCAGCCGTAAACACCCCAGAGCCCAGTACTTTAAGGCAGGGGGTGGAGACAGCTCCGCCGCCGGCACGGATAGCCTCGCCACCGACACAGGCAATTCCGCCGAAAGATCGGAATGCCTCGCCGCCGGCGCAGGCAACCCCGCCGCTGGCACGGATGGCCTCGCCGCCGGCGCAGGCAATTCCGCTGCCGCCGGTGTGGACAGCCACGGGGCCACAAATTCAGTTCCCCACTTTGGACTCAGACAATTTACTGACTGGTGGTGCAAATACTGAGCGTGGAACGGGGATACGACCGGCGTCTTCGGAGTTGGGACTATATATTCGTGGGAAACTGTTTGGGATGGCTGTGAGCTTCCTGATAGACACTGGAGCAACAGAGAGTTTCATTGCCTCCCACCTGCTGCCACAAGACCCGTCCTTGCGGCCAGCACGTCAACCTCGGACAGATACTCAAGCGAGGGCCCAGGGTACATCGGTCACCACAGAGTAGTAAGAGTAGTAAGGCCGTGGGTGACGCAAGGTCAACTATCACCATGGGAGAATATAGCTTCTTTAAACAGGCATATCAAGTTCTGGTGGGCTCGCTTCGAGCAGTTGGTGATAGAGCGTGGGGCCCTTTGCATCAAGTGGGAGCCAAACAGACTGACCGAAGCATCTCGCCTGTGAGTCCTTGTGCCACGAGAACTGCAACCAACCATTCTGCAGCACTTCCACGACCAAAAGATTTCCGGACATTTAGGTATTGCAAAGACATTTGCTAAGTTATGCAGAAGTGACTTCCACTGGCCTTCTATGAAGATGGGTTGCACAATGTCAGCAGTGCCAGAGGCAAAAGCCACCTGCAAAGGCGAAGAGAGCACGAATGGAGTGCTACCAAGTTGGAGCGCTGATGGAGAGAATAGCAATTGATGTAGTTGGGCCACTTCCGGTCACAGAACGAGGCAACAGGTGCATTGTGGTTGTTGGAGACTATTTCACCAAATGGACGGAATGCTACCTAGTTCCAGACCACACTGTTAAGACGGAGGCAACCAAGGTTATAGATAAGTTGGTCTCTAGATTCGGTGTTCCCCTTGAAGTCCACTCGGATCGGGGTCGTGAGTTTCAATCTGAAGTCTTTGCACAGATGTGTTAAGTCCTTGGCATAAGGAGGACCCACACCACGCCCTACCACCCGAGATCTGACGGGATGATCGAGCGGTTCAACTGCACCATGGAGGCCATGCTGAGTCTATGGGTGAACAAGTCGCAGACTGACTGGGAAGAGCATCTAGCCCTTCTGACTATGGCTTACAGGTCAGCGGAGCATGAAACCACCAAAGAGACACCAAATACCGTGATGTAGGGGCGCGAGGTTAGGATGCCAGTTGATTTGCTTATTGGCTCTGCCCCACTAGATCCAGTCCAATATACAATAGTATGGGCAAGCCCTATAGGACAAACTATGGCTTGCACACGGGGCTGCACGGGAGGCTACCGGGGCACAAATGAAGTCCCAGAAGAGACACTACGACAGGAATGTTGGTCAGGTATTGTACAACAAAGGAGATGTCGTGTGGCTCCACTGTAAGGTGCGGAAGAAGGGAGTCTGCCCAAAGTTCAGCCTGAGCTGGACTGGGCCATGTATCGTAGTGGACAGGCTGTCTGACGTTGTGTATAGAATCAGAAAGACCCCTTGTTCTAACCCTCATGTAGTCCAAGCGGATAGGCTAAAAGCTTGCCAAGGAGTAAGCGCAGAGAACAGTGGATTCTGTTCCTGGAGATTATCTGCAAACCATAACCCTGAAGGTACTTACAGCAAGTCTACCAATCACCAGGTGCGGACACCAGCACGGCTGCATCTAAAGACTATCGGGAGACACTAGCAAAGTGCGAGATCAGCCCGAAGTCCAAAGAGAAGACAGCGATGGAGAAAGGTGTATACAAATGCAGAGTTTGTGGGCAACCTTACGCCTCGCCCTACAACAGGCAGAGGCATGAGAAGTCGTCACATGAGAGCCAGACTTTCCCCTGTCTACACTGCAAGCAACAGTACAAACCAGGGTGGTCGCAGCCACGCAGACGGAGGTGGTATTAATGTGCGAGGAGTTCACAACAGTCTCACGTGAGACAACGGAAGACCCGTTGGGCCGACGGACCTACCGGGAGACAGAGTCGATCAGCCGGAGGGAGCCGAGCGATGTCCTGTGGAAGACGTGGAACAGAGACACACGTCGCGGCGAGTAGACTATTTCCAATCACCATTTTGTTGTCGCTATGGGTAGGCCCCAGTAGTTATTGTGTTCTTGTTGAATTAGGAACCAATTCGGGGCCTAAATCAACATTAACCAATAGCTTCGCGGACATCCAGACAGGCCTATGAGTGGACATCTTTTTTGGGAAATATATGTGCTGATTGTGTGACTTAATTCTGTATAATTTTTCCAGTTGCCTAGAAAAATAAAAAATAATTGTCTTCTAGATTTAGGTAAAATCTTGGGATTGTGCCTCCTATTCGGGAGAACAGCCTTTTTCTAAGAGGGGGGCGGTATAATGGACCCTTAATGTAGCTTTTGTTGCCACTAGAATAGCCTCAGGTGCCGACGGATCCAGAGGGCCGCTGGCGGAGGGCCTCCGGTGGAGCGCCCTGACCTGCTTCTTTTGTAATTGTATAACATTTTGTGCGCACCGGAAATTGGCTTTTATTTCGGGATGCTTTGGCGGGCACGGGAAGGGCTTGGCAAAGTTCCCGGGCGGGAATTGCTTAACACTGTTGTACATTCGGTTTTGGAGGAGAGTTGGAACGGTGTAGTTGTGGTTCTGACCTCAGTGCTGAAAGCTGTAAGCCAGATTTCGAGTGAATCAAAGAAGTCTTGTCGTTGTAAATCCTGTGAGTTGTGTCCCCTTTTTGGTGTTGCTGATTCGGAGGACAAGACCCCACTAGTTCAAACTACACATCTATCATCATAACAATAGATGGTAATATAATAATGGTGATAATTGGCATTGCATACCGCATTATTATCTTAGGACATGCCACTGAATTTTCTTGTATTCCTTGAAACACTAGTTTTGTACCATTATATGGTTGAACTCTTTTACATTGGAAGACATAATTAGGAACAAGGATCCAGATAATTTTTGTTGGATCTCTGTGCTCTTGTCCTCCATAAGAATGTAAAACAAGTCCATTAACCCTAACCCTCCTCAATCCTTCACCTGTTGGAGGATTGAGGAGGGTTAGGGTTAAAACACTTGTGATGAAGTCACCGAAAACAACTGTCAGAAGACTGAGGAGAAATGTTGTCAATGAGGTGACATGCACAAACATCAAAGTGTAACTCTTTTACGATTTCATTATTTTTCTTCCGTTACAAAAAATCCTGTTCAGATAAGAAGTTCCAGCCCCTCTTTTTACTTTTTCATTTGTCAAAGCTTTTGGTTTGGACCTTCGATGATCTTTCCCTACACTTTCCTCCTTATTATACATGTACATCAAATTTCTGTCGCACCTGTTTCCTTTTCAACCTCCTCTGATCCTAACCCATATCTCTCTTTCTCTTTATCATACCCCGTTCATTCTGTTATGCATGAAATAGGGCTATAGAGCTGTTTATTATTAATCCGTAGAGACTTACCTGTTGCCGCCTGGAAGGTCACTTAAAGCTGTGCTCTTAGATGTCTTGTTCTTATACATGAAGTAAGCAATGATGATGATGATGATAAGTAAGGCTCCGCCACCGAGGCCCACCGACAGCCCCACGATCAAGGGGATGTTGGGACCCACCTCCTCGCATTTCGGTCCCTCAGTGCCTTCCGGACAGTCACTGACAAAATAGAGGGAGACGCGTTATCTGCTGCAATTTATTTGCTATTGTTTGTTGAGACCTCTATCACTTCCACCACTGTAATTAATTGGCTGTAAGTGGGTATGCACGGTCTGGTTTGTTCTTCATCTCTACTGGCACAGAAATTGTGCATCATTAATTTTGTGACCCTTTACAGCGATTCAGAGTTGATTACTAACAGCAACAAAGAAAAACTGAGGAATCAGGTCAAAGCTAACTACACAACTTGAAAGTTGATTTTTGTTTGGTCTAGAAACACTTTTCATTTGTGTAAAGTTTCAGGCAAATACCCCACTTGCTCTGATGTTATGCACTGACTAAGGACCTTTTTGACTCGCCACATTTACTTGACGTCAAATTGCACCACAGACGGACAACACTATGGATACAGCTAGGAGTAACTATGGAGTGATACACGTATTTGCAAAATCGCTGTCCTAGGAGATGCCAATACTGCGATGGCACTGCACTCAATGTCTGCTTATGTTGTTAAGCTGAATGGGAACATGGACTTTGAATTTTACAGCATCCTACTGGTCGAAGAGGCATGCAATGCTTGCGTACCACCTGCTGATGACAGCCCCATCACCAGCTTCAGGGCAAGGGGGTTATGGTACCAACTGGGGGGTAAATCACAAGAATAGATAATTTGGATGCTCATGGTTTTTGCTGATGGGGGGGCGAAGCTGCTTGCTGGGGGGGGCAGCCCCTTTGGGACCCCCTTGGCAACAGCATAGCCAATGAGTGTGGTGGCAATGAAGTAATAGCTCCAAATCCTGCTTGCTGAATTACACTTTGTAGTCAAACTCGGATACAAGTCCTACTGAAACGGGAAACAGCCAAATGACTGTAAGAGGCATGATGGAAAATGAAGATATCTCAAGGATCCTTGAATTTTGCAAGTTCTTCAGAACTCCTTGCCAAATTTTCACTGTGACACAAAATGGGACAATCGATTGAAACCCAAGGTTTTACCTGCAAACTGCCTCCTTGTCTAACTCCTGGGTACAGACCCCAGCAGCACAGTACTTGGGCTCAGCGACACAGGTGGACACGCATTTGAGAATGCAATGGTCACTGGACTTTTCCTCATACAGCACCCGTTTGCCTGTGCAAGTGATCCCATTTTTATCCACACCTGTGCAAACGTCAGTGACATCTAAATATAAAAAGAAAAAAGATGAGACGGTACATGTAAAATTGATATACTGACAAATGATAAATTAACCAAGAGACCCATCAATTAACTACCCAACTTACAAAAGTTAAAACAAGGAGATCACTTTTACACCAAGACAGATATATCCCCCAAGGGGCATCAATTTGCATTTACTCTAAATATCACACAATTTTTACAAAAAGGGATTTCGTGGTTAATGGTAATGAACTTTTCAAACAAGATGTGCAGTCGAGATGTGAGTGCTTTCATGGCATACATTAATTTTGATGACAAAGATGGCACATGATACAGATAGCTGCTTGAGAGTTTCCCTGGAAATCAGGTACTGGAACTGGTGACCAACACTTGGGTTGACTATGGATGGGCACTGTGACAAAAACAAGCATACTCGCTTACAGAAATTTTATCATACCTTGTGTTGTGGAGCATACCAGGAAGCACACAGCGTAGAAGAAAATGACACTGCCAAAATGATGCAATTTTAAATACATTGTCAATGCGGAGCTTAATAGGCAATTTTTCCAACTTCTTATCAGGACTTATTGCCAGAGTTTTTGGCACAGGTATCAGCACATGGCCATATGCAATATTGAGAAGCTTTTCTGATTTAGAATAGGACTTTACCTTTGGGATTACCACACTCTGCGCAGTCCTGCAGCTCCAAGCTCCCAATAGCACCTGCCTTGAGCAAAGTCGCCAGCGTCGATTTCCGGAGAAACTCGGCCGATCCAATGCCCCGAACTTCTACATTGCCGTAGTTGTAGGTCACTGTGTGCGGAATGACCACACTACCCTTCCTGCAATGGGAGTATCCAGTGACATTTGCAATGAAGAAACAATGGCAGTTTCAGCAGAGACATGACAATGTCGCGGTGATGTCAGGTTTTTGACCATAGCCTTAAAATGAGGCCAGGAAAGTCTAGATATACCTTGTTAAGGCCTGAAATCAGCCAAACTCAATGAGGTAGGTCACCACACACCCATATTTTGGGTTTCTGACCTTGAAGTAAATTAGCATTGATGTACTGGGGGGTGATTACTTGCCTCCCCGAACAGATGTTTTTACAAAAAATAGCTCACAGGAAAGAAAGTAGGCCTAATTGTTTAATTTCTCCTCCTTCTAAAAGCTTGTAAAGAGCCCCAAAGTTTAGCCTCAAAAAAATTTTTGGTCCGCCCAAAAATTTCAGTTCTGATGGCTCTGCCTTTGTCACTTGATTCAAGTCTGCCTTGTGCCTATTCTGCAAAATTGGCAACTTCCCACACTAACCACACAATCCACAAATATTATAACAAAATACAATCATGCTTACTTGATTGCTGACTGGTCTACTATGATGGCCTTGAAGCTGCTGGATGACACTTGCCTGTACAGTGGCTCGATCTGAAAAAAAGGCATCAAAATTCAAGAAATGGCTATCAATAACAGCCTCTTCTGATAAGAATACATGAAAATACATTCATAATGTTTAAGTCCCTGTGGGGTTATTTGTATCTATGTGTATAATGCCGGCAACAGACAGCAACTATTTGCAGAGAGGAAAAATCCATGAAAGTGTCAACGGCATGCATATACAACACTTTATACTCATTCTCTTGTCAAAACAAGAGAATGACATCTCTGCATAATTATCTGCAGTGAAGTAGTTGTGGGAACCAAGCGAGTTAATTGATTCATTCAGTGCATTTGAGAGTTTGATGGATGGTGCATAATTCTTCTAACGTACACGTACAGTTCTACACTTTGTATCCAACCCCATCATCCTATCCATTTTCTAATCCACCCCCTCCCCATAATCCCATCCATTTCCTACTCTGACCCCTCCCTATCATCCTACCCATCTCATACTCTGCCCCATCCCTATCATCCTACCCATCTCTTACTCCACCCCTCCCTATCAACCAAGCGAGTTAATTGATTCCAAACTGAAATAGCTCCAATTACAACCAGCAAGAACGAAGACAGGCAAAAGGTTGGGAGGCCCACAACCTGATGATCCTAAGCTTATCTTAGTACAAATTCTTATAAATCCTTTAATTGACATATCTCTACTATTCTGTATTCTGAAAGCGTGGCACTGGATTTATTTGGACTTTGCTGAGACTTTCCTGGAGCTTTTGTTAAAATTAATGACCTGAAGTGGCATTTATACTTACAAGTCCCTTGAATATATTTACAAGTCCAAAGCACTGGGGGGACATCTTGTCATTCTCATTCTCCGGGTCACATCCGTACGTTGAAGAATTTGAAATGGCAAGCTCCAAAGCAAACTTTTTCTCGAAGTCAACGGACCCTGATCACATGAATAACAGAGGGCTAATTTAACTGAGGCTGCTGCAGCCGAGAGGAAATGTTTCAGAAACCATAAGTCTTTTTTTTCTGTTTTGCAAGTCCATCACTGGTAAATTTCGAAAAGCCACTCCATACCAGTCACACAGTTGCCTGCAGGGCTTTAATGGCACTGGAGATGTTTCAAATTAACAGGGTGGGCTCACTTAATGGAGTAATGGGGGACGTGTAGGATGCAATTTACTTTGCAGAAAAGGGGCCAATTTTGTCTCTTATACAGATTCTTATAAACGTTGTGACTTAAAAGGTAACACAATCCTGGACAGGATAAGGCCAAAAATGCTGAATTGGTGTGAAAGGATGATTTTGTGTTCTGTTTCTGCGACAACATAACTGTCTTTATGAAATGATTACCTGGAATATCAGGGTACTCTGGTTCAATGTAACCTGAAATGAGAATGCCAAAACTGTAAAATTCACGTCATATCAATCAGAACTTAACTGAAAAATTAATCAATGAAACTAGAACGGCAAAGCCGCCATGGCTCGCTGCTTGTTATGGATTTGAATTTCTTTCTTGTAATAACAGGAAAGAGACATCTAAGCTATACAAATATGGTTACTAAATCCAAAAAGTAAATACTAACAAAGCTTTGTCAATTTTTTTTTACAAGTTTGGTTGACATACGACTCCAATACAGATGTACAAGCTATTTTATCAACCTTAGCAATACAATTCATTGTACTCTTGGAGAAAAAACCTAGTCAGTGCTGTGTGCAGACGGTGTGTTGAAAGGCGCCTGTCATTTAAAAGTAAATCAACAAAGACCACCACCAAGAAAGATGCAGATACAAAGGATTCACAGTTGGTTACAGCAGAGAGGAATGCCTATAGAAAGTGTCTCCAGCTAGTACAGAATAGACCCAGATGATTATATAAG